TCCATCCATCCATCCATCCATCCATCCATCCATCCATCCATCCATCCATCTATGGCTCTGTCAGACCAAGCAGCTACCTGTTTCCTATAGTGCAATTTAAATACATCTAAGAAGCTGAAAAGCAAAGCATTGATTTAAGTGGTTTCAACATTGGAGGTAGGCCAAATTTATTTGGCTATGACACTCAGAAATCCATATGCATGCTTGCCTGTTTTATTAAGCCTGGCCATCACAGTTCAAATAACATTTGCTGGGTGTGCAACAATGACAGAAACAGATGCACGCTGCACTGTGTTTTCAAACTTGAATGGAATTCAGCGTAAGTCACAATCCATTTGCACAAAGCCAGCTCAGTTTCAAGGTGGAGACTTCAGACAAAAGCCTTCCCATTGTCCAAGGTTTTGGACTTCAAAGATAAGCTGCAGCCAAGATTGACCTGGGTTGAAATGATAATGAATCTCTTCCATCCTGCCTTCTGCCCCATGTCAAAACAAGCCATTGGTGCAATTGATTAGGAATTAATTAGCAACCAGCCAGCTATTAACAAGATGCCAGATTGCTTAGCTTGTTTTTTTTTGAAGGGGGGGGGAGGGAGGCTGGAGACAAGAGGGACTATCAGCTTCAGAGGCAGAAGTTTCCTTGAAAGAAAATTCCTAGTTGAAGAAAATGACTGAGATATACTAGAACTGCTGGGGGTAGGGAGGAGGCAAGGAGGATGGCTTGGCAGTTAAAGACACTGAGCTTGTCAGCTGGAAAACTCACAGCTCAGGTCTGAGACCCGACCACTACACGATGAGGTGAGCTCCCATTCCTTGCTCCAGCTCCTACCCTCTGAGCAGTTCAAAAGCATGCATATGCAAGTAGATGAATAGGTACCACTTCGGCAGGAAGGTTAACAGCATTCCGTGCACCAGAGAAAACGCCTTCAGACAACACTGGCTCCCTGGGCCAAGAAACAGTGGTGAGCACCGTCCCTGTGTGGGACATGGTTCGACAGGGAAGCCTCTACCTTACTAGAATTGCTACAGATATAAACCAGTGGTATCGCACGTTACCAGTTCTGCACTCAAAGCAGTCAAAGATCACTTTGCGCATGCGTGCAGCACTCAAAGATCACCCTCAGTGAGGTGAGCTGTTTTTTAACTCAGCTGAGGCGTAGCAATCCACTCTGCCACGTGAATCAGCTAAGCTAAAAAAACCAATGGAATATAGGACAGGAAAAGGAAGGGATGAGTAGGAGGGCCCAGTCAGAGGTGGTATTTGCCAGTTCTCTGAACTGGTCAAAATTTCCGCTACTGGTACGCCACAACCAGTCTGAACCAGCTGAATACCACCTCTGATATAAACCATATCTACTGGTGCTATTTGATCACCCAGAGATTCATCCCAGGGAAAAAAAACAACAACAACCAGAAATTCTGCATAGCGACCACAGTGACTAAGAAGTGAACCTTACCAGCACTATTCTTCTGAAAATGGCCGAAACTCAAGATGAATATGACTTTTCTCCTTTTCTCATTAATGCTTGGCGACATGAATTATCCTGTTGGTCCACTGTCCCCCCCACAACCCTTTGGGCACCAAGGACTGGTTCCATGGAGAGAGAGAGGTTTTTCCATGGATTGGAGAGGGTGTGGTTTGGTGTGCTACCTGCATCCCATAGGGATGGGGCTTTTCTTGTTTGCGTGGCCCGGTTTCTGGCACGCCATGGACCGGTACCGTTCCACAGACTGGGGTTTGGGGACCCCTGTGTTAATCTACCTGTGGAAAAGATGACTGGCGTATAACTTAACAAGGAAATCCATAAATATAAATTACACCACGCATTTGATGTCATGCTAGACATATTAGAGAAGAAGGGAGAATATGATCTAAGGCAT